AACATAAATATTTAATGTTCCAGATTAATTATTAAGATAATATTTATCGTTGTAATTTATTTGCATACATACTTCCATACATATGTTATGCAAATAATAATTTGTGTCACATAATATTTAGCATTTCCTCGATTTTACTTGAACCTTTTATTGTAAACAGAGAGTTGTAAATTTGGATAATTGTTGATGGTAGCGTCATAATGTTTCATTTCATGGCACTGGTATAAACTTGTATGGATGTATGTATGCATGTGAGGTATGTATTAAATTATACAGAGATGACAATTTAATTAGGTGCCTTAATGAAGGGGGGGAAGGGCCGGGACAGAAAGAAGGGCGGGGGAGCGAGCGAGCGAGCGAGCGAGCGAGCGAGCGAGCGAGCGAGCGAGCGAGCGAGCGAGCGAGCGAGCGAGGCGAGCGAGCGAGGAGCGCGAGCGAGCGAGCGAGAGCGAGCGAGCGAGCGAGCGAGCGAGAGAGCGACCGAGAGAGCGAGCGAGCGAGGAGCGCGAGCGAGCGAGCGAGCGAGCGAGCGAGCGAGCGAGCGAGCGAGCGAGCGAGCGAGCGAGCGAGCGAGCGAGCGAGCGAGCGAGCGAGCGAGCGAGCGAGCGAGCGAGCGAGCGAGAGAGCGAGCGAGCGAGCGAGCGAGCGAGCGAGCGAGCGAAGCGAGCGAGCAGAGCGAGAGGCGAGCGAGCGAGCGCGAGCGAGCGAGCGAGCGAGCGAGCGAGCGAGCGAGCGAGCAGCGAGCGAGCGAGGGAGCGAGCGAGCGAGCGAGCGAGCGAGCGAGCGAGCGAGCGAGCGAGCGAGCGAGCGAGCGAGCGAGAGCGAGCGAGCGAGAGAGCGAGCGAGCGAGCGAGCGAGCGAGCGCGCGAGCGAGCGAGCGAGCGAGCGAGCGAGCGAGCGAGCGAGCGAGGAGCGAGCGAGCGAGCGAGCGAGCGAGCGAGAGGAGCGAGCGAGCGAGCGAGCGAGGAGCGAGCGAGCGAGCAGCGAGCGAGCGAGAGAGCGAGCGAGCGAGCGAGCGAGGAGCGAGCGAGCGAGCGAGCGAGCGAGCGAGCGAGCGAGCGAGGACGAGCGAGCGAGCGAGCGAGGAGCGAGCTAGAGCGAGCGAGCGAGCGAAGCGAGCGAGAGAGCGAGCGAGCGAGCGAGCGAGCGAGCGAGCGAGCGAGCGAGAGACGAGCAGCGAGCGAGCGAGCGAGGCGGGAGCGAGCGAGCGAGCGAGCAGCGAGCGCGAGCGAGCGAGCGAGAGAGCGAGCGAGCGAGCAGCGAGCGAGAGAGCGAGCGAGCGAGCGAGGAGCGAGCGAGCGAGCGAGCGAGCGAGCGAGAGCGAGCGAGCTAGCGAGCGAGCAGCGAGCGAGCGAGCGAGCGACGAGCGAGAGAGCGAGCGAGCGAGCGAGCGAGCGAGCTAGAGCGAGCGAGCGAGCGAGCGAGCGATCTAGCGGCGAGCATATATATCTATCGATATACTATCTATCTATCTATATCTATCATCTATATCTATCTATCTATCTATCTATCTATCTATCTATCTATCTATCTATCTATCTATCTATCTATCATCATCAATATATCTAGCTAAAAATCGAGTTAATACCAGTACAAAAGGTTTGCCATGCAGTATATAACATACATATCACTTATTAAAAGTAAAGACAACAAAATTTTCGCATTTTTAATTAATAAAAATCCATCTATTCGTTACCACTGCTTACTTAGCAAGTGAAGAGAGTAGTTGACAGATTAACAGCAAAATTAAAAAGCATAATATAATATGAATAGAAAATTTTTAATTTACATCACGTACACAAAAATAATTTGTTTATAAGTTTTCAAAAAATTTATAACAACAAAGTGATTGAGAAAAGTGCCTTTCTAATAGAGAAATACTAATGATTTGCCTATAAATATGTTACCGGAACATTTTTCGAAAATGAAAACAAACAATCTTGAAAAAATATACGAATTATGTTTGAAATAAATTTAAATGTGGGTCATAATTAATTTTAAATCCTAACCATTTTTGGTTTATATCTCGTCTTGTAAGCAGTAAACGAGTGTGTGTTTGAATTTCTTAAAGTTCTGAGAAATTGTCATAGAATTGTAGTTGTTTTTTGTTTAATTTAATAGGAAAAAAATTAAAAAAAAAACTCTCACTTCTTATTAAGCCATATAAAATAACGACAACTAATTATTTTGGTCTTTTTACCAAAAATCGATTTGTGTGTGAGGGTTTAGCGACAGACGTCTGACAGTGACAGTCAGTAGAGTCAGTAGTATTTCAGACGGTTTAGTGTAAATAACAATTTCTTGTGTGTTGCGGATGTCAATAAAAAAAAAAAAACATAATAATTGTGTTGCATTCATTGAAAAGTTATTAAAAAAAGAAATTAACTTAAAACAAAATATGTATATAATTAATAAAACCTCAACGCCATAGAAAGCATGTATTAAACATAATTGTAATTTTAAGATAAGAAAAAAAGAAAGAATTTATTATTTGATGTGATTTATTAAAATTCTACTACTACTACTACTACTGTTTCCATAATGATTTTTCTCCAAATACGCAAAAATTTCAATGTCAATTGCAGTTTGTTCTTGATTTTAATAAATGGTAAGTAATTTTATAACAACTACATAATTATTGTTACGTACTCTTCCTATTTAGTTAAAAAATGTTTGTTTTTTGTGGAAATAGAAAGTTTTAGTTAGAGTTTAATTGAAAACATAGGTCAGGTACAATAAACGTGTTTACAATAATTAAAAAATTATAATCTTTTACAGAAATTGATTTCATTAAATTTTAATAAAATTTAATTCAAAAAATATAATTATACCCTACACCACTTTAGTGGGGAGGGTATATTGGGTTTGTGCTGATGTTTGTAACGCACAATAATATTGGTCCTATACCCACCTTAAAGTATACCAATCGGCTCAGAATAATTTTCTGAGTCGATTTAGCTATGTCCGTCCGTCTGCCCGTCCGTCTGTCCGTCCGTCCATGTAAACCTTGTGATCAAACTACAGGTCGCAATTTTGAAGATAATTCAATGAAATTTGGTACATGATCTTCTATTGTCCCAGGGACGAAGCCTATTGAAAATGGTTAAGATCGGTCCATTATTTCACCTAGCCCCCATACAACTGAACCCCCCAATAGGGCTTGTAATCCTTGTAATCAAACTACAGGTCGCAATTTTGGAGATAATTCAATGAAATTTGGCACATGATCTTTTATGGTACCGTAGACGAAGCCTATTGAAAATGGTTACCATCGGTCCATTATTTCACCTAGCCCCCATACAACTGAACCCCTCGTATAGGGCTTTTAAAATTTGTAATCAAACTACAGGTCGCAATTTTGGAGATAATTCAATGAAATTTGGCACATAATCTTTTATGGTATCGTAGACGAAGCCTATTGAAAATGGTTAACATCGGTCCATTATTTCACCTAGCCCCCATACAACTGAACCCCTCGTATAGGGCTTTTAAAACTTGTAATCAAAATACAGGTCGCAATTTTGGAGATAATTCAATGAAATTTGGCACATGATCTTTTATGGTACCGTAGATGAAGCCTGTTGAAAATGGTTTACATCGGTCCCGCCGAATAGGGCTTTTAAGTTCATAATTATGTTTAATATACTCATATCTCGACAAAAAGCTGCAATAACCAAGTTGTATACAAGACTTGATGACCCCCACGAATTCCATAATAATAGGTTCTCATATGACCCTAGCCCCTATGAAAAGCCCCCATCAAAATTTCACTTAAATGTCCACAATTTTATTCAACAATAAACGGCTTAAGTGTGTATATCTAAGGCAAGGTACAATTAAACTTAAATGTTTTATTATGGCAACTAAATCACATTATATTTATGTCAAAGGTGTAGGGTATTATATGGTCGGCCTCGCCCGACTATAATTTCTTACTTGTTTTTGTTTGTTTTTTATACCATTTCCCTTCGTAATTCCTACAATATAATTTTGCTACCCAATAAACTATATGTATTCTGAGTTCTTATAGATATCGGAGTCGATTAAGATATGTCCGTCTGTCGGTCCGCATGTAAGCTGAAATAAATTTTCTGATATTTGCTAATATCTCTGTTATTTTTGATCCGATTTCGATGATTTTATATAGGGAACTTCTTCAAAGCATTCTTTATAGGATCGCGAAATTATATTGAAGAAATTACAAACGGAATAACAAACTTATATATACTCTTCTTACTAAGGTGAAGGCTATAAAAACCTGTAAATTGGAATTTTGAAATGACCGGCTAAAATATCAATATCTTTTCACCACAACTTATACCATGTTCACGTTATCTCAAAAAATCATATTCCAGTAGCTATACATATGTATATTTTTATTTAATTATAAATTTAGTTATTACACCGGTAAAAACTTTTTAATCAAAATATATATATCTATTAATATTATAGTTCCAATAGACACTATATTTATTTAATATCCGACATTACTTTTTTTTAGCATTAGTATTTCAAGTATCCCTAGCAACTGCCAAAACAATTCCTAGTTCCTTAATTGCAACAAGACCAAATCCATACAATGATGCCACTGAAGCAATGCCAACAACAACCACAACGGCTGCACCTGAAGCAAATCGGGATATAACAATTGGTCCCTGTACCTGGGCAATCGAGAGAAAATGTCCCGATAAGGATATAACATTTTATCTATACACACGTAAAAATCCATCAGATAGACAATTTTTACATATCGATGATAGTCTAAATACTTCAAATCTAACAAATTCCTATTATGACAGTAAGCATCCAAGTAAAATTATAATACATGGTTATAATTCGGATATGTTTTTGCATCCATTGCAAATGATGAAAATGGGTTAGTAGGTGAAAATATTACAAATAAAGTACAATCACAAAAATAAATTATTTAATTTGGATTTACAGAATATTTAGCTAAAGGAGATTATAATATATTTTATGTGGATTGGAGTAAATTGGCACCGGGCCCTTGTTATATGAGTTCAGTACATAATACCAAACATGCTGGAGCTTGTATTGCTCAGTTAGTGGAGCGTATATTGGATTTAGGCAGTACAGATATACATGTAATTGGATTTTCTCTGGGAGCTCAAGTGACCAATTATATAGCCAAAAATCTGGCAACATTTCAGCTACCTCGTATAACTGGTAAAATAGAAAACAATCACACTCTAGTTGTATATTTTTTTTAATTACTTTTCCAATTAATTGTTATTATAGGTTTAGATCCGGCTATGCCTTTATTTGTAATGGCTTCGGAGAAAGATAAATTAGATCCTTCGGATGCTGCCTATGTGGATGTTATACATACTAATGCCATGGTTCAAGGCAAATTAGAACGTTGTGGTCATGCCGACTTTTATATGAATGGTGGCATTGTTCAACCAGGTTGCACAAGAAATAATCCTTTAAGTAGGTTCCTTACAATAGTAATTTAAGAAAAAATTTAATTCCCAAATTTCTTTATAGATCCCTTTGCCTGCAGTCATCAAAGAGCAACAGCATATTTCTTGGAATCTATACGTTCACCAAAAGGTTTTTGGGGCTGGGCTTGTAGCTCTTATATAGCCTATTTACTAGGCATGTGTCCGGCCACAAACTATCTCGTTGAAGCTGGTGAAAATGTTAAAAGAACTACCAGGGGCATGTATTTAATAAATACCAACGATACATCCCCATTTGCTTTGGGTAAATGGACTGATCTACCCACTTTGGGTGTGAAGAAGCCATCATCTGCAGCAGGCATTTCAATGACATTTCGACCGCCACCACAAAAGGGTGATCCTCTTTTGCGTAATATTGATGAATGGGGTAAATTAGATTATAGTTTTAATAATCTATATCATCAAGAACCCACGCCATTTTCACAAGATCCCTATGGTGAGAACTGGACCTATTTCAGCGGTGACACTTCAGATATTATAGATAACTCGGTGGAGGAGCAAGATATAGCAGAATATCAGAGTGGTCAAGTTAAACATAGTCATTCTGGTACCGAACATCCACAATATGGATGGGATGCATATAAAAGAAATTTAACTGAAGGTTTTATAGACAACACTATATTTAGAATACCACATGTAGGTAGAAAATAAAAAAAATAAAGCAGAAATCTTGCGTGATAAAAGTTATCCCAAAACAGAGTAAAACTTAAATATATTTAAGTCAATGTCATTATAATTTAAGCATCATAATATTTATGATTCAATAAAATTAAATTATTTCCAAGCGTTCATAAAGCATATACGTTTTCTAAACGTATTTTAAATAATTATATATTTCATTATAATTTTAATAATGTTTTGATATTGGTGATTTCCTATAGGTCTGAAACATCGATGTATTTATAAGTAGTACATATTAAAAAAAAATAATAAAATATATTTTTACAAAAATCCATTGTAACAAAAAGCTTTGGCAATGTGAAAAAGTATTAGAACCCTGCATAAGTTACCCTATTTTCTAACCACAATGACTCAGTCAATCATTGGTTTCCATTCAACTCATAGGATGTTTAGCACAATATTTACAACTATCTTGGAAACTACACACTTTTTGAACACTTTTTATCCAAAAATTGTTTTTTTTTTTTCAACTGAAAATCGATTATTTGATTGAAACCACAAAATTCCACTTAGAGATAGGGCCAAAATAATGATAATCTGTGATCACTTTTATTTCCTACCAAAAATCGATTTTTTGAGTGAAAACATAAAAGTCCATTTATCTTGGAATCGAGAAGAGATAGGGACAAAACAATGATAATCTGTGATCACTTTTATTTCCTACCAAAAATTGATTTTTTGAGTGAAAACATAAAAGTCCACTTATCTTGAAAACGAGAAGAGATAGGGCCAAAACAATGATAATCTGTGATCACTTTTATTTACTACCAAAAATTCGATTATTTGAGTGAAAACATAAAAGTCCATTTATCTTGGAAACGAGAAGAGATAGGGCCAAAACAATGATAATCTTGATCACCTTTATTTCCTACAAAAAATAGATTATTTGAGTGAAAACATAAAAGTCCATTTATCTTGGAAACAAGAAGAGATAGGGCCAAAACAATGATAATCTGTGATCACTTTTATTTCCTACTAAAAATCGATTATTTGAGTGAAAACATAAAAGTCCATTTATCTTGGAAACGAGAAGAGATAGGGCCAAAACAATGATAATCTGTGATCACTTTTATTTCCTACCAATACTCGATTTTTGGGTGAAAACATAAAAGTCCATTTATCTTGAAAACCAGAAGAGATAGGGCCAAAACAATGATAATCTGTGATCACTTTTATTTCCTACCAAAAATTTATTATTTGAATGAAAACATAAAAGTCCATTTATCTTGGAAACGAGAAGAGATAGGGCCAAAACAATGATAATCTGTGATCACATTTATTTCCTACCAAAAATCGATTTTTTGCGTGAAAACATAAAAGTCCATTTATCTTGAAAACGAGAAGAGATAGGGCCAAAACAATGATAATCTGTGATCACTTTAACTTCCTACCTAAAATCGATCTTTTGAGTGAAAACATAAAAGTCCATTTATCTCGGAAACGAGAAGAGATAGGGCCAAAACAATGATAATCTGTGATCACTTTAACTTCCTACCTAAAATCGATCTTTTGAGTGAAAACATAAAAGAGATAGGGCCAAAACAATGATAATCTGTGATCACTTTTATTTCCTACCAAAAATCGATTTTTTGAGTGAAAACATAAAAGTCCATTTATCTTGAAAACGAGAAGAGATAGGGCCAAAATAATGATAATCTGTGATCACTTTTATTTCCTACAAAAAATCGATTTTTTAGTGAAAACATAAAAGTCCATTTATCTTGGAAACGAGAAGAGATAGGGCCAAAACAATGATAATCTGTGATCACTTTTATTTCCAAAAATCGATTTTTTTAGTGAAAACATAAAAGTCCATTTATCTTGGAAACTCGAAGAGATATGGACAAAACAATGATAATCTGTGATCACTTTTATTTCCTACCTAAAATCGATTTTTTGAGTGAAAACATAAAAGTCCATTTATCTTGAAAACGAGATAGGGCCAAAACAATGATAATCTGTGATCACTTTTATTTCCTACCAAAAATCGATCTTTTGAGTGAAAACATAAAAGTCCATTTATCTTGGAAACGAGAAGAGATAGGGCCAAAACAATGATAATCTGTGATCACTTTTATTTCCTACCTAAAATCGATCTTCTGAGTGAAAACATAAAAGTCCATTTATCTTGGAAAATAGAAGAGATAGGACCAAAACAATGATAATCTGTGATCACTTTTATTTCCTACCAAAAATCGATTTTTTGAGTGAAAACATAAAAGTCCATTTATCTTGAAAACGAGAAGAGGTAGGGCCAAAATAATGATAATCTGTGATCACTTTTATTTCCTACCAAAAATCGATTTTTTGAGTGAAAACATAAAAGTCCATTTATCTTGGAAACGAGAAGAGATAGGGCCAAAATAATGATAATCTGTGATCACTTTTATTTCCTACCAAAAATCGATTTTTTGAGTGAAAACATAAAAGTCCATTTATCCTGGAAACGAGAAGAGATAGGGCCAAAACAATGATAATCTGTGATCACTTTTATTTCCTACCTAAAATCGATTTTTTTAGTGAAAACATAAAAGTCCATTTATCTTGGAAACGAGAAGAAATATGGCCAAAACAATGATAATCTGTGATCACTTTTATTTCCTACCAAAAATCGATTTTTTGAGTGAAAACATAAAAGTCCATTTATCTTGGAAACGAGAAGAGATAGGGCCAAAATAATGATAATCTGTGCTCACTTTTATTTCCTACCAAAAATCGATTTTTTGAGTGAAAACATAAAAGTCCATTTATCTTGGAAACGAGAAGAGATATGGCCAAAACAATGATAATCTGTGATCACTTTTATTTCCTACCAAAAATCGATTTTTTGAGTGAAAACATAAAAGCCCATTTATCTTGGAAACGAGAAGAGATAGGGCCAAAACAATGATAATCTGTGATCACTTTTATTTCCTACCAAAACTCGATCTTTTGATTGAAAACATAAAAGTCTATTTATCTTGGAAACGAGAAGAGATAGGGCCAAAACAATGATAATCTGTAATCACTTTTACTTCCTACCAAAAATCGATTATTTGAGTGAAAATATAAAAGTCCATTTATCTTGGAAACGAGAAGAGATAGGGCCAAAACAATGATAATCTGTGATCACTTTTATTTCCTACCTAAAATCGACCTTTTGAGTGAAAACATAAAAGTCCATTTATCTTGAAAGCGAGAAGAGATAGGTCCAAAACAATGATAATCTGTGATCACTTTATTTCCTACCAAAAATCGATTTTTGAATGAAAACATAAAAGTCCATTTATCAATGAAACGAGAAGAGATAGGGCCAAAACAATGATAATCTGTGATCACTTTTACCTTCCTACCAAAAATCGATTACTTTGAGTGAAAATATAAAAGATCCATTTATCTTGGAAACGAGAAGAGATAGGGCCAAAACAATGATAATCTGTAGATCACTTGTATTTCCTACCAAAAATCGATTTTTTGAGTGAAAACATAAAAGTCCATTTATCTTGGAAACGAGAAGAGATAGGGCCAAAACAATGATAATCTGTGATCACTTTTATTTCCTACCAAAACTCGATCTTTTGAGTGAAAACATAAAAGTCCATTTATCTTGGAAACGAGAAGAGATAGGGCCAAAACAATGATAATCTGATGATCACTTTGATTTCCTACCAAAAATCGATTTTTTGAGTGAAAACATAAAAGTCCATTTATCTTAGGAAACGAGAAGAGATAGGGCCAAAACAATGATAATCTGTGATCACTTTTATTTCCTACCAAAAATCGATTTTTTGAGTGAAAACATAAAAGTCCATTTATCTTGGAAACGAGAAGAGATAGGGCCAAAACAATGATAATCTGTAGATCACTTGTATTTCCTACCAAAAATCGATTTTTTGAGTGAAAATATAAAAGTCCATTTATCTTGGAAACGAGAAGAGATAGGGCCAAAACAATGATAATCTGATGATCACTTGTATTTCCTACCAAAAATCGATTTTTTGAGTGAAAACATAAAAGTCATTTATCTTGGAAACGAGAAGAGATATGGCCAAAACAATGATAATCTGTGATCACTTTATTTCCTACCAAAAATCGATTATTTGAGTGAAAATATAAAAGTCCATTTATCTTGGAAACGAGAAGAGATAGGGCCAAAACAATGATAATCTGTAGATCACTTTTATTTCCTACCAAAAATCGATTTTTTGAGTGAAAACATAAAAGTCCATTTATCTTGGAAACGAGAAGAGATAGGGCCAAAACAATGATAATCTGTGATCACTTTTATTTCCTACCAAAAATCGATTTTTTGAGTGAAAACATAAAAGTCCATTTATCTTGGAAACGAGAAGAGATAGGGCCAAAACAATGATAATCTGTGATCACTTTTATTTCCTACCAAAAATCGATTTTTTGAGTGAAAACATAAAAGTCCATTTATCTTGGAAACGAGAAGAGATAGGGCCAAAACAATGATAATCTGTGATCACTTTTATTTCCTACCAAAAATCGATTTTTGAGTGAAAACATAAAAGTCCATTTATCATTGGAAACGAGAAGAGATAGGGCCAAAACAATGATAATCTGTGATCACTTTTATTTCCTACCAAAAATCGATTATTTGAGTGAAAACATAAAAGTCCATTTATCTTGGAAACGAGAAGAGATAGGGCCAAAACAATGATAATCTGTGATCACTTTGATTTCCTACCAAAAATCGATTTTTTGAGTGAAAACATAAAAGTCCATTTATCTTGGAAACGAGAAGAGATAGGGCCAAAACAATGATAATCTGTGATCACTTTTATTTCCTACCAAAAATCGATTTTTTGAGTGAAAACATAAAAGTCCATTTATCTTGGAAACGAGAAGAGATAGGGCCAAAACAATGATAATCTGTGATCACTTTTATTTCCTACCAAAAATCGATTATTTGAGTGAAAACATAAAAGTCCATTTATCTTGGAAACGAGAAGAGATAGGGCCAAAACAATGATAATCTGTGATCACTTTTATTTCCTACCAAAAATCGATTTTTTGAGTGAAAACATAAAAGTCCATTTATCTTGGAAACGAGAAGAGATAGGGCCAAAACAATGATAATCTGTGATCACTTTATTTCCTACCAAAAATCGATTTTTTGAGTGAAAACATAAAAGTCCATTTATCTTGGAAACGAG